ACGCAGTAATAGGTCAGTGGTTTAACGAGAAATAGGATCCAAGCACCTGAATTCCAGTCCTCTGCTCTTTTTACTAGATAGCTGATGTTAAATGTAGTTCCATATTTTTTATAATAACATTCCATGTTTGTCTGCCAGACCCATTTCATCGCTCCTTAGGCATTTTTTACTTCGGGGAAACTCCTGAGTGTCAATTCGAGTTTTTTTTTAGCAGAAGGGTAAATAAGGCACCCTGAACAGGGCTTGTGGAGAATGGCAAGTTAGTGCCCACTCTCTTTCGTACATTTTGAGAGGCATACATGGTGTGTACAATGAATCAGTAGTAAACATGTTTTTTCTTAACATTTGTATTTAAGCCCTGATTCAGGAACACGCTTGGCCATGTGCTTGAAGTTAAGTGCATGCTTCCATGTCTTTAATGCCAGTTGGACTCACACAGGCCTGCTGATGGGTGTGCATGGGGGGACAGAATGGGCAGTTCCTCCAGGGCTTAGCGATTCAAAGGAGCTACTGCAGCAGTGGTGGTTGAGCCCAGGGTCCTTTTGATCATCACTGGAGTGCCATGCCATCACTCTGGACAGCACTAAGGGATGGGGGGGGTCACACCAGGTTCATTGAGGGCTGGTGTGGCACACTCCTGACAGCGCTCAGGGCTGGCTGCTCCCAGCTCCACCCCTTCCAGAAGCTCAGAGCTGACTCTCCCCCCGCCCCTGCCCCTGCCCCAGCAGAGGCTGTTGGCTTCCTTGGTCTTGCACATGTGCTCTCCTTAATCAAAACTTTAGTTCTGATCCTGTTAGAGTTGCCAGTTTTGTTTGGATGTATTCATGGAGGTTTACTCACATGCCATAAATTTGTTAGCCTTTAAGATACCTCAGGACTAGAGATGTTAAATATCGGTTAATTGAAAAGCCAATATGATTCTAGGATGCATTAACAGGTGTGTTGTGAGCAAGACATGAGAAGTCATTCTTCCGCTCTACTCTGCGCTGGTTAGGCCTCAGTTGGAGTATTGTGTCCAGTTCTGGGCACCACATTTCAAGAAAGATGTGGAGAAATTGGAGAAGGTTCAGAGAAGAGCAACACAAATAATTAAAGGTCTAGAGAACATGACCTATGAAGGAAGACTGAAAGAATTGGGCTTGTTTAGTTTGGAAAATAGAAGATTGAGAGGGGACATGTTAGCGGTTTTCAGGTATCTAAAAGGGTGTCACAAGGAGGAGGGAGAAAACTTGTTCTTCTTGGCCTCTGAGGATAGAACAAGAAGCAATGGGGCTTAAACTGCAGCAAGGGAAGTTTAGGTTGGACATTAGGAAAAAGTTCCTAACTGCCAGGGTGGTTAAACATGAGAATAAATTGCCTAGGGTGGTTGTGGAATCTCCATCCCTGGAGATATTTAAGAATAGGTTAGATAAATGTGTATCAGGGATGGTCTAGACAGTACTGGGTCCCTTCCAGTCCTAGTATTCTCTGAATAGTCGATTAACCTCATGAATTCTTATTGGTTACTCGACTATTCTATAGTTCTGGGTGTGAGGCCAGCTGCCAGTGCCCTCTGGCCCCACTCCTGAGGACTCCCCCCTCCCCCCAATCTGTGCTGCTGCCTCTATATCAGAGGCAACAGTGTGGGGTGCCAGTTTAAAACCAGCTCCCTTTGCAGACTGGGTGGCAGCAGCTCCTGTCTGAGTGGGGGGGCAAGGGGTGTCTAAGCTCCCAGACCCGGGGCAAGTCCGAACTGAGCCCGACTGCCCACCTGCCTGGCACCTGATACACTTTAAATGCAGAGCAGGTAGGTCCTGGACCCAGCACAAGCCGGGACTGAATAAGGATGTTCAATTTTGATTAATTTATTAGTTGAGTAGTTGATGGAATTTCCATCGACTACTCAGCTAGTCGATAGGCACTTCTGAATTCCTCTTTTGAAAAGTACAAGATCTTGTGCATTTCAAAATGGAAGTGCCTGCATGGAGCTTGGGGTCAGCGGGGGGACTGAGATTTCCCAGCTGACCCTGGGCTCCATGCAGTGCTGCCTCTTTGAAATGCCACATGGAGCCTGGGATTTGATCCCGGGTTCCGTGGAAATGCCGCACGGAGCCCAGGATGATCCCACCTCCGTGCAGCATTTCAAAGCAGCAGCGCTGCACAGAACCCGGGATCAGCTTTGAAATGCTGCCGCGGCGCTTCAGAGGAGCAGCGCTGCATATAACCTGTACCCAGGACTCTGTGTGGTGCTGCCACTTTGAAATACCCTCTTTTTCCCCCGCCCCCTTTGCTGTCTTTATCTGATAGTCATCAAGGGGGCAGGGGAAGCGATGAGTCAACTTTGCTTTGCTTATCAGATAGTCGACTAGTCCTTAACATCCTTAGGACTGAGCTGGCCTGTTGGCCAGTCTGCTACACAGTTTACTGGGGGAGGGTTGGCAACCCTATCCCCTGTTAGGAATCAGTTCTCTAAGTTAGATATTTATTTTCTTCTGTGTAATTGATGTTCCCACCACTACAAAAAATTTTTAAATATATATTTGTTGAATTTGAGCTTTATTATGCAGTCTCACTTTCTCAGCTTTCATGATATGACTCCTTACAGAGGTTCATTCTCTCGGTAGTCAAAAGAACAGTATCTTCTACACAGTGTTCTGGCAACTGTGAATAAGAAGTCATTTTTCTTCACTCACATCAGAAGACATCCCTGAGATAAAGCTGCAATGAGATTTAGAAGAAATGCTGCCTCCTTGTCTAGCTCCTGTTACTTTTTATAAAAAATATTTTGGCTATTCTTACATAGGCATATGTTTTCATTCAAGCTAAAGTGTGCAAGAGCTGAATATAACTTTTGTATGTCTGCAGCACTCTTAGTAGGAAACTTATTTTTCTGGACTTCCAGCTAGCATTCTACGTAGTTTTAAAGCAATAATCTACTGATGCAACATATACAGAACTCTTGTTGACATCACTGGGAATCTTACACAAAGACTGATGAAAGAAATAAATAGACCGTAAACTTTACAGAAGATGGAAAGAATCCTCAGTGGGCAACTTCCCCCGCTTATATATATATATATATATATATATAAAATCATACATACACACACAATCTTGGGTCATACTAAGAGTACACATAAGTAGCTTGTAAGTGATCAGTAATTGATTAGTATATATTTTAATCAGTTCTTATAGATTATGAACTCCAACAAATCAATAGTTTTCTTGTAATACCTGTACCTCTATTTGATGTGCTTAACACATACTGTTATGTAACATACATACGTGTATATGTGTGTGTGTAACATCTATTAATCAATTCCTAATATTGCATAATGTTATTCTAAATGTAACTTCAATATAAAGTGTGACCTAATCTTAACCTGTCCACAATATAGGTCCAACCCTATAGATTTACAGTGTGCTTAATTTTAAGAAGGGGACTCCTCCATTTCACTGGGATGAAAAACATCCATAAACTTAAGCATTTACAAAGTGGATTTAATATGAATAAGCCAAATATTGTAAGTCAATTGAATTTAAGTAACTAAAATGATATGATATTCAAAAAATTAGACCACATATACTTTTTTTTACATGTGGTTTTATGTTGACTGTTTGCAGTTATCAAAATATTTGTTTAAAATGCCTCCAAACTTTCAGTAATTTTAAATGCCTCTAAACTTGCAATAATTTAAAAAATAAACTATGAAAGCATAGCCCCAAGAATTAAATAGATTCAGAAAATTAAAAGCATCTGTACATTTATTGCTTTCAGTTGAAAAGTTCAGCAACATAGAGTCTATTAACATACATATTTGATAACCAAATTCAGGATACATCAGGAAGTACCAGAGTTTTACTAATATATGGGCAAAACAAATATATCCTTAAAATACATGCAAGGTATTAGACATGTAGAGTATTTATGGAATGTTGGAATCTGTATAATTCTTAATCATAATCAACTCACGTTGACTAGAGTACTTTGTAATAGCTCAGGCACCGTTTGTTTTTCTGGCAGTAATAATGGCATAACTTCCTATTTCTATCCTGGTTGTATTGATGGAGCCTGCTATTAAGTTGATTGATCAAAGTAAGCTACCTATTGGAAGTTTTTAAGTCCAGTCTTGAGTTGTCTAAAATGCATCTGACAAAATACTATCCATTGGTGCTGACAAATATTTTATAAGAAGCAAGAAAACTGGCAGATATACATCTACAGTTTTTATGTAACCATTATGCTGTGACTGTCAAGCACCATCTCTGGTCTAGAATAGGGATGTTAAGGGTTAACTGGTTACCCAGTAAGCATTGCCTTACTGGTGTGCTTACAGGGGTGACCAGTTAACCAACTCCCAGCCCAGCTAGAGCAGACCCCCACCTGTGCCATGAGTGGGAAGCTGCTCCAGCCCAGCAGAGCCCTTTGCGCCCCAGGCAGGAGCACTCTAGACCAACCAGGCCCATGATGACACAGTGGCCAGTTTAAAATGTTAACCCCTTTAAATGATATGTTTAATGAGATTTTTACATCCTTCTTGCAGGTAGTAGTAGGATTTGCTTATTTTACTTGATAATGGAGTGTTGGCTGGAGGGAACATAGAATTCTTATGTAGTATATGCTGAAGAGTTCCTCTTCTTCCCCCTCCCCCCCCCCCTCTAATTAGCATTGCTCAGAACCCATTGGGATTCAGGCAACAATTTGAAGATCTCATGTCACATTCCACTTTAAATAAGCAGCTATACAAACTGTAAGATTAAAGCCAGTGGCTCAGTTTCTGATTCCCAATTGTTCACACATGCATTCTCAAAATATTGAAGTTTCAAAGAATTTGTCACTCCAATACATAATTTACTAACCGGGTAAATAATTTATTCCTGTATTCAGAGTAAAAAGCTCAAATATCTGGGAGAAACTAACAACTGATTTAGTCAAGAAAGTTGGAATAAAATATATAGATTTTTAATTTTTACTTTCATTGCATTACAACTGATAGACAATAAAGGACATTGACAGAAAGTACTGCAGTTATTAGAGATTGAGATAAAATCTAGGCATTACTGAAATGAGAGTCAAGACATGTGGCTTCTATTCCTTTCTCTGCCACTTACTCACTGTACTTAAGTAAAATAACCTCTCTGTGTTTCAGATTCAGCATTTGTAAAATGAAGATAATATATGCCTGTGTGTCATGAGGCTACTGAGAAGTTTAAATACCTGATACTGCAAAACCTTCCATGTATGAAATTCTTATTGACATCAAGTGAAGTGCTGTACATGGAGAGCTTTCAGGATAATATTCATAAAGCACTTTAAGATCTCTGATTGAAAGAAGATGTAGAAGTACTAATTATTATTAAGAAATTCTAAACCTAAATCTTTCAACTCATTCTTCAGCTACAAAAAAAGGGACAGTATAATATCACTGAAAAAGTGAGATTGGGGAAAGTTGACAAGAAAATTAAGAAAAGGCTGAGGGAGAGTAAAAACAGCCCAAATTTGATTGGCTGATGCTTTAGATTTTGATCTAAGTTCATTCTAGCAAGAATCTGAAAAGTTACATACATTATTTTCTTAAAAGTATAGTTTGACCAATATATTAAAAAGTATAGTTTGACCAATATGTTTACTGCATCAAATAATATTGTAGTTGAAGTGTTAACATTCTCTCTGAGAACAACTTGGAAAAGATTGTGTGAGTACTGTTTTACAATACAGATTTACTGCTGTTGGGAATGAATAAGCCTCTGAACCTGCTCCCATTGAGGTCAATAACAAAACTTCTATTGACTTCAGTAAAATCAGGATGGGGTCTAATCTACCTACTGTACATACTGCAGAAGGTAACAGCATCTGATCAGCAGATATTTCTTGACATCCCACTTTTCTGCAGATAAATCTTTCTACTGCTTCGCAGCTTGAAATAACTCATTACCATTTTAAAAAGTGCTGAGCTCTTTATGAGAACATTGACCTGCCCTTTTGGTTAGGTTAAGAAAAAGTTACATGTGATAGGAATTATGCTCCCTGAAAATAATTTTTATTTTCCTTTGGCTTTTATTTCAGTTGTGGGCACCAGCTGCTTGAAAGAGTGTTGATCCAAGAGTTTCAGCTGAAAGAAGCAGTTTGCTGTGTTTCTGAGGGAGAAGAGTGCCAAACAGATGAGATGGATGCTACTGCTGATGACTGTTCTGACACTGAGAGGGGAAAAGAAAGCCACTTTCCAAAAGACACAGCGTGGGGCACTGTTCCATGCCCCATTGCTCAAACCAATAGCTGTGAATTAAAAGAGGTATCTTGAGTTTCTTGCAAATTGTTGACTTGAATGATGTCATTGTTTTTCATTTTGAGAAAGAGGGTTAAGGGTCGGCAAAGCAGATTAAGAATTAACTTTAGATTTTGGCTTCAAATAAGGACAAAAATAGAGCTTTATGAAAGCTCTCTCAATCCTTTTTCCTTTAACCATCAGTCTTTTTAAAAATACGAAAGAAAATATGTATATAGGGGTTTCTAGGGAGAAAATATTCTCATGGGGTTTTTTTGGGTTTAACACACATTATCAACCGTGTCTCTCACTTGCATCAATTTCATGTTAGTTTGATTCCATCGACTTTTTATTCATGAATTATTTCAGCATGAGGAAGAGGAGAAGCAGGATCCCTACTCTCAGTGGAATGGTCTAAGTCTTTCCAGTTCAGATGCTGGCAGATTTCCAATTTGCATGAAATATTAAAAGAAAAAATGAGGAGGCTTAAAAGGGCTTGATATATTTCTTTTAATTTTTGGATTTGCTTTGGCATTTCTGTCTTTCTTAGATATTCACTACTATCCTGTAAACATTTACCAGCATTACAAGAATAACTAAGCTGCTTAAGAGTCAGCCCATCCAAAAGAGCCATGTAATGTGACCAAAAAACCACCCTCACCCCTATGATATGCATTGTTTTTATTTCTTTGGAATTTTGTTGACAAAAATTAAATGTGTGCTTAAAAGCACTTAGTGTTAACAGCCATTGAACTCTGGACCAGATAGAAAAATTGATATTTAATTGTGCATTTGTATTGACTGAGATTTAAGAGAAGGCAGGCCATTACCCTACTGTAAATTCCCTTCTGGCCTAGTAAAATTCTATTCTCAATCAGGCTGTGCATGGTAATTTCAACCTTTTGGAAAGTAAAATATTTTACAAAGCTGGACCATTTGTAACACAGGGGCATTTTCATCCTAAATGGCAAGCTGTGGTTTTAATTTTATCTGCTGTTCTTGGTGAATCTGCAAAGAGAATGCCAGCAATTCTGTTACATGGGTAATGCTCAACTCTTCTTCCAAAAGTGTAACTGAGATTTGTGGTTGATTGTGACTTATTCTGCTAGTCACAGTCAAAGCTAGTTGAGGCAAATTCCAATTTTAGTTGCAGCAGCATAATCTGGATCAACTCAATTGAAATCAACCATATTGCTCTGGAATTACCAACAAGTAGTCCTATGGCAGCTTAGAGTAACAAAAATATGTAATATCAAGAGGTTTTGTGGGTAAAACCCGCTTCCTTGGATGAACTGGAGTGGAAATAACAGAAAACAATGTATCAGAAGATGTACCTGTCAATTGTAGGACCCATGTTAATAAGGGTAATTAAGCCGGCTGGAAGTGTTAGCTGGAAGTGTCTCATTAACATGAGTCCTAAAATTGACAGCTACTACTTCTGCTCTTATTTTATAGATAGATATACATACACACTAGGGATGTAATAGTATAGTCGATTAACTGATTAACCGATAAGGATAAGCTTATCAGTTAATCCTATAGACTACACACATTCCCCCCACCCCCTTCCGTTATTAAGTTTCTTAGCTGGCTGGCCAACAGACCTGCTCAGTCCTGGCTTGCGCTCAGTCCAGGACCTGCCCCCGCTGCAGCTCTGCATTTAAAATGTAGTAGGAGCAGGACGGGCAGGCTTCCCAGCTCGCATTGGGTCCAGGAACTCAGACCCCCACCCCCCGGACAGGAGCTGCTGCTACCCCACGCTGCTGTCACTGTATTAGAGCCACCCAGGCAGCTGGTCCCGCAAAGGGAGCAAGTTTTTTAAGTTGTGAGCAATATTGTCTTTGTTGTGAAAGACTTCTTTGAAGCAGAATCAGTGAAAGAATTCTCCTAAGTCTCACATGTTAGTATGGTATCAAGTTCTGTGATGAGGCAGAAGTTCAGTCCCATTAAAAGTAGATAATTCAGCTGTAGTAAAAGGCAGCCTTGATAAATTGGTGATGTTGTGGTATCACATAGTATCCATTTGGTGGGTCCTGGAATAATGGTTTATCTTAGAAGTAATGTTCTGTGGGTTGTGGATTTGTACTTAGTTCTGTTTATTTTTTTTTGGTGTTGGATGGTTATCATTAGGGTTTTTTTTATAATTGCTTTCAGTTTCTTGCATGATCTCCAGATACGTTTCCTATTTTTATTTTTCACAGTAGGAGAGCATGTGATGATTTCTTGTTTGATGTGGTCCCTTCTGGAATATCTGAGGTGCTAGAGATGGTTCCTCAGTTTTCCTGAAGTCCTTCTGCAGAGCTCTTCAGCATGTTTAGAGTTGTATTTAGTTAAGTGATCAGAGGGTTATAGATGGTGAGTCATCTGGGCATCTTTTTGAATTTGCTCAGGTCATAGAGGACACTTAAGTTTGGCTTCCTTTTCTACATGTGGAATTTTCATTTTGGACAGTAACATTTCATATCTTCAGATGTATTTTGCAATATTGTGGTAGCTGTGTTGGTCCCAAGGTATTAGACACACAAGATGGATAAGGCAATTTATTTTATTGGACCAAATTCTGTTGGTTAAAACAGGCAAGCTTTCAAACTTCTCCAGATCATTACTTGGAAAGCTCAGAATATCATAGCTAAATACAAGATGGAACAGATAAGGAGTTACATGTTGCCAGAGACTATGCAATGCAAAGTGGACAGCATACACCTCTAAATACAAGATGGAACAGATAAGGAGTTACATGTTGCCAGAGACTATGCAATACAAAGTGGACAGCATACACCTCTACGGTTATATGATAAAGGAAGGTTAGCGGGTTACAGATTGCGGTAAAGAGCTATAAATTCAGTGTTGTTATTCAGTTCTCAGGATTTTTTGAGTCTTCCAGAGTTACAAATCTAAGTTCTCAGGTTCATCTTTTTAAAGTGTTCCCTGCCCTCCTCACCAGCTCCACTGCCCCTCCCCTCCCCCCC